GTTCCTTTTTCCGAAACCAGATGGTGCTGATTCGACATCGAAACTTTAGTTCGCATTTTTGCCGCCAGGGGGCGCTGTTTTTTTCGAAATTTTCGCGATATTCCTTTACTTACCTTCACTTACCTTTACTCGAAGCAGTCTTTACAATATATTTATTATGAGGGATGCAGAGATGTAAGGAATGTAGGGATGAAAGGAATGTAGGGATGAAAGGAATGTAGGGATGAAAAGAATGTAGGGATGAAAAGAATGGAGGGAGGATAAGAATGGAGGGATTTAAGGGATGAAGTGATGTAAGGAATGTAGGGGTGAAAAGAATATAGGGATGATAATGAATTTAAGGGATGATAAGAATGTAGGGATTTAAGGGATGAAAAGAATGTTGGGATGAAGGGATGAAGCGATGTAAGGAATGTAGGGATGATAATAATATAGGAATTTAAGGGATGATAAGAATGTAGGGATTTAAGGGATGAAAAGAATGTAGGGATGATAATAATGTAGGGTTTTTGGGGATAAAGAGATGTAAGGAATGTCGGGATGAAAAGAATGGAGGGATGCAGATATGTAACGGAACGAGGGATTTAAAGGAATTCCGTAGGGGTTCGGGGCTGCGGCCCCGGTCTCTACTGCACGCGGCCCGAGGAGTGCCGGCATCGGGTGCGGCCCCCGATGTCGTTGGAGTTTGGCACATGGCGGAGGGTCAAAGGACCCTCCCTACCGCTCTAGTGCAGGCCACCGTGGTGGTTTTAGTGGGTAAAAATCCCACACTACCTTCGGCCCCTCCCCAGGGGGGCTGAAGCTGTCTTTCTGAAGATTTCCATCACGTTAAAAAAAAAAAAAAAAAGGGTATTTAAGGGTTGCAGGAATGTAGAGAATGCAGGGATGTAAGTGATACTGAGATGGACTTGGCCTATAATGAGGGATAAAGTTATATAAATAACTAGAAAAAGTAAAATAAATGGGGGTCCTCGGCTGAGATCCAGAACAGGGATATAATCATAAATGTTGTTCCCCTTCGATGAGCTTATTTAATAAGCAAAAAATAATAAATTAAATAAATTAAATAAACTTTGGAAAAAAATTATACTGGTCGTGCCCTCTTCATACGGACTTGATATTATCCAGGGGTGTTAGGGATCCCGCTGCGCCAATGACGCCCTTTGCGTACCGACCTGATATCATATTGGGGTATTGAGGACCCTGAAACGCCGGTGACTATCTTTGCGTACCAATAATATAGCATCCGGGGTGCCAGGAACCCCGAAGCACCAGTGACTATCTCTGCATACCGACATGATATCATCTTGGGGTGTCAGAAACCTCGAAGCACCGGTGATACTGTTTGCATACCGACATTTTGGCATCCGGGGTGTCAGGGACCCCGAAGCACGGATGACACTCTTTGCTTACCGACACTACGGCATTCGGGGTACCTGAGACCCCGAGGTACGGGGGACGCTGCATGCCGATATTATGCCACTGGGGTGTCAGGGACCCCTAAGCAAATAGCGAAATATAAGACCTAAAGACGAACAAATCGTGAAATTCACTTGTTCGGGATAGTGATGGGTACGACCGGATCTGTAGCGTATGCGCACTACAATTATTTATTACAAAACAAACTTGTAAATAATTAAGAAATTATTCACTCATAAACAATGAAAATGATATATTTGTAAATCACAAACGATTTCCAATCAATTACAGTTATCAGTTATCACAAAATCTGTTTATTATAAAGAATTACTAAAAAGTTTCGACTCACATTATGATTGAAGTAAAATTGCTAATTACAAAAGAACTAATTTGTCATAAACGGTGATAAACGTTAAAAATAGACTCACAATCAATCACAAACGATTTACAAACGAAATACACTAAGAAAGATTAAAAATAATCATATTTTATTATTCCTTCCGGCTAGCTTGATGTAGGCGGCTTTTTAGCCGCTCTTTTGCCCAACGAACTTTTTGTCAATTGTTTTTGCATTACTTTTTTTCTTTTTTTGGTTGCCAACAGCACAGGGTCACCCTAGCATAAAACAGATGGCGTTTATTCTCAAGTCACAAATTCGAAACCACTTGAAAACAAAAGCATGACCAGTCTTGTTGGATCTGTAGTCACTGACGACCACGACTGACAGTTCCGAAGAGTCGGAAACGTGAAAAAGCCGAACATGGCGGTAGTGACAAATTCGTTTGATAGTTGGCTCAGTAAGAAATTACAGGCTTTAAATACCGACGAAGGTGTTTTTGGATCGTACATCAAGGGAATTTTAGAGGGTGATGAAACGGAGGATGAGAAGACCGAAGCCCTTGAAAGCATACTCTCGGGCATAACGGTGAGGAGCACACGGATTGTGAGGTTAGAATATGCTTGCTATTCGTAGCCGAACTCTATCAGCCGGTCAAAAATAACAACTATGCTATTATTATTATTTTCTATCGATGATTCGCATGTGTCTCTTTAAATTCGATACGTTTTACGTTTCGTTTTTATGTCTATATGCTTAAATGTTGGCGACAACTTCGTTATATCCCCTTAACATCTTAATAATTCGAGGATGTCGCGTAATATGTATTCTGACACCTTCTGTTCGAAAGTTAAAATGTTTCATTTCGTCGATTTCTAGGACGAGAGCATCAGCAAACACGTAGCAGAGATTTTAAGCGCTTGGACCAAGTGGCTACCTGTTGAAGATGTTGCTGCTTCAAAAGTACCAGTTGAAGATGTGGATGTGAGACTGGCACGAATGCTGGAGTCCCAGTCTCTTCCAACCACAACACAAAAAAGTTACACAGAAGAAGAAAGAAAGATAAGAGAGGCCATTCTTGCTCAGTACAGTCAAATGTCAGATGAGGAACACAGTGAAGGCGAGGGAGAGGATGAGGGTGCCAGTGGAGGAGACTGTGGAATTGAAAAGAACACAAATGTTGCTGCCATAATACAGCAAGAAAAGGAGAGAAGGGAGAAAGCTAAACAAGATAGTCAAAAAAAAAAGGAGAAAGACAAAGAAGATAGGTATGAGTTGACTCATAAATTATTAACATGTATGTCACTAATTATATCTATTTTTCTATTCAGGGAGAAACAAAAACAGTTAAAAGAAGAGAAGAAGGAAAAACGGAAAACACAGAAAGGAGAAAGAAGAAGGTAGCATTGGGATAATGGAATTCTAATGTTTACCGCGAAATTTCAATTAATCAGATGCAAATTAGCATTATACATATATGTCTGTGTTTATTCTCGTGCATGCGGAAATCATCGCCTATTTAAATCGTTTACTAATTTTCTTCTAGAAATACGTGTCTGTAAAAGAGCTGTTCTAAAAGAACGTAATTCAAGGCAAAATGTCAAATGTATGTGTGCTGTTGAGCAGTGTTAATTATATATATATATGTTGTATGTAACATTACATCCTGTGCCTTCTATCAATTGGAAATCTCTGTGAAAGGTAGTAATCTTCACCTAAAACAATATTCTATTTATTCTTTTCTACGCTTCTCTTAACATCACAATTTATTAGCTATCGTTTCATGTGTATTTAAGACGTAATCATGCAAATAATTCTGTTTTTTAATTTTATTTATGTAATTCGAATAATGTTGAAATAATATATAGATGTAAAACGGTGATAAAATCTGAATACAGATAAGTAATTTATACTTATTTCTACGTTCAGTGTTTTCTTTTTAATTCTATATGGATCATGTATTTAATATGAATAATCTAAATAAATCATTTAAATATTCACAATAAACATACCTGCATAAATATGACAATTTTCGTTGATTTTTTACAAATTATTTTAATACCTTCATTGCGTAAACAACCGGAAGTCGCACAGTCTCACACGCCAGACGTGTCGATTTTTTTCTCTTCGTTGGACGCTTATATTACTGATCAAGTCAGATAAAATCAGCACAAGACCGAAAAATTATTTGAATAATTATTTGATAAACTTATATTTTGAGAAAACCGCCTAAAATTAAGTATTTTTAAAATTCAACCACTGCGCCATCTATACAAAAGCGGCGGAAACTACTCAATAAATTATCGACTGAACTTCCGACAGTCGGTAATCGACCCTTCGGCATTCGGTAAGTTAACGAATAGTTTGCGCCGTTTTTATATAGATGACGCTGATGGCTTTATGAGGGCTTATCTCACATTTAAATTGAATGAATTGCGTTTAAATTGTAATAATATATTTGAAATTGTTAATATAATGATATACACGTCCTTTGGGTTTAAAGGGTTTTGGAAGAATGAACATTCATAAAATTAATTCCAATTTGTTTTTAAATGTAACAAATGAATAATAAACAGTTCAACAAAGGTGGCGGTGAGAATAATCTTGACTAATCTTCCTTATCGACATCGGCCGCCACAGCCTGGGGTGTTAGGAATCCCGAAGCACCGGTAATGCTCTCTGCATACCGACATATCATCCTGGGGTGTTAGGGACCCTGAAGTACCGGTGACACTTTTCGCATACCGACATTATAGCATGAGGGGTGTCAGGGACCCCGAAGCTAAAATGTGCGACCCATAGACTTTCTATAAAAAAATTGAAACCTCTATAACTGTTGACTCCGACCACTTAACCGTACAAATGCAACGGTTTTGAGTTAGTCTCACTCAGCGAGACCTTTCTAACGACGTATAAAGCGTAACTCTAACCCTAGTAGTTCTCAAGTTGAAAAGTGACACGGGCAGACGTCTTTGCGCTTTATATATATATATAAGATAAGATATCATCAACGTAATCAATGCGCACTGCATTGAACCTTCCTCTTTCAAATGAATCCACTCCCAGCTGAAAATCTTCTTATATAAGGACGAGAACTGTAATCCCGTAACCCCTTTTAGGCCCACTTTTACCGGTAATGTCACCTCACTGCATTACCCGTGTCTACCCTGTCAAGTGTATCCTGAATAGTATTTTATGAGTAATTGAACTGAAAAATAATTAAGACATTGCTCTTGTATTTGTATTTTTTATTAGTATATATTTACACACAAGATACCGTGTCGAAACCGAGTCATCTTGGTATTGCATTAATAATGAAAGACAAACGCAGTAAGATAAAAACAAACGAACAAATGATACAAAAGATGATGATGCTTCAGTATCGTATCATTACATATACTAATGTCATTATTATAATCATTTATTATTAGCAATTCTTTTCTTCGTTCACTATAATTAAGTTGGGCAGAAATTGACGAACTCGCATTTACACACGATGTAACAAGATCTTCCCCGATGTTCAACGCCGAGTTACAAATAACCATTTATCAATTCCTGCTCTCTCTCTCACTTTCACTCTCTCTCTCTTTCTCTGCCATATTTCATCTATTATTTCTCTGTTAATATCCTTTCCCCCTCCCGCCACAATCTTATAATGTATTTCGTTTTGGCGAAGCTCATTGTTACACGTCGAATAAAAATTCTTGCAGACGTTCATTTAACATAACCAGCACGAACATGTCTCTAAACAAGAAATCACGATTAGAATTTACCTCTAACAATCTTTGTATCTCAAACATGCGAAAAACTGTGTTGTTACCAAAGATATATTTATTATTACATTTTGTACATGCTTCCATTAAAAGGGATACGACATACATTAACGACGTGAAATCTAATAAAGTGAATTCGACGACGAATAGAACGTATAACGAAGAGAAATTTACACAAATCTTTTTTACGTGAGTTTGTCGATCGATTAAACAGCGTACGTAATTTTATATATTTAACAGAGATCTTTTACGTAAGAAGACGACACTTTGTGCTCGAACTCGTGCCCCTACGGACGCTGCTTAACTAGAGGATTCACTTTTTTTTTATGTTCTTTTCATAATATGCTAACACAAAACTGTTATTCGTGATTGTCCTATTGAATTACACTAAGAACGATCAATCGTCACAATTTTATAGATCGATCGGTCGTTGAGGATCAATCTTGTGTCGAGAAGGGAGGGGGAGAAGGGACGGTCGTGGCGGTGGCAACGATCTCACCATGTACGCACAATTACTATCTAATTGAATTCAATAGATCTAATCACGTCGTTAACTCGATAATTAGTTACACGCTGTCCTAACAGATATACGCTAAGAGCATTCCACGCTGAAGCCTGAAAGAGAGTCTCTTCCATTTTTTTTTCCTTTTCGTTTCGTTAAGTTTAGACCTTTTAGACCATCCCCTTTTCATTGTTACATATGTATGTTATCGGACTAGAAAGCGACTGTCGTTTCCGTCCGCGTCTATTTTGGTTTTGATCGAACCAAAAAAGAAATTCGGACCGCGACGGCGATGATTCTTTCTCAATCCAATCGAATTTGATACAACAAGCTTTCGTTTCGTGGATGCATCGTCTAATTTATTCAACCTTAAACATTTCTTTGTCTCTTTCTTCGTATTATTATTTTTTTTTGTGTGTTTCTTTTCTTTTTAGAAAGTATACTTCAATATTTCGTATTTAGGCGCCTCGTGTTACGTGACGCACGCGCATGCGTAAACGGCCGCGCGGCGCACGCGCGCCATATTCGAAACGCGTCAGTTTACGTAGATCAGTCGATCCTAACGCACGTAATTTGATCCCACTGTATACAATATAGTGAACACAACTAAAATTCAACGACTGTACAATTGGCGTGAACTACTGATACGTAGAGAAAAATGCGACGACGATATTATCGTACATTTCTTCTTTTTGTTTTTTCTTTTCGTTTCACGTATCGATGATTCTTCGCGCCAAATACTTTCAGTCGATTCAATTGAATCGTTCAATACAATACAAATGACGCGAAGCGTATCTTCCTGATTCGATGATCTATAATTGTCATTTCCCTTAACACAGTTAATTCTAAACTTCTGATCGATGAACGCACTATTTTATACGGAATACCGGCAGTAATAGCACGTAATTCTATTTACGTTCATCGTACGTAGCTAATAAATGCGTCCAATCGTAGAACTGGATCATTAAGACGATTAATAAGTCACATGAGAGAAATTTCTTTCTTCGCGTCGCATTTTTTTATTTATTTTTTTTTTATTTATTATTTATTTCTTGCGAGCAATTCAATTGACACGACTGCAGGCCCGTGAATGGTATCAGGGTTTAATCGGGGAGGGTAAGGTAAAAGGGAGCAGAGGCTCCACGTATCGGAGCTACGTTGTTCAAACGGTCTTTTCTATTTTATTTCTAAATGGATATCCTATGTTTAACTCGTTTTGTCGCTTCCGCGTGGGTTTCTTAACACGTAAAATCGTATATGTATATATGTATATGCAGTAACGTAACGCACTCACTCTAGACACATTCACGCCTAACACGTTTCTCCTCTTGTTCCTTCTTTATTCTTCGTTTCACGTTCGCTTTCGCGCACTCATGCATACGGACGCGCAGACGCCTTGTTAATGTTAGTTATTATACACAATTTGATATTTCTTGTTCACTATAAACCTGTGTATGTGTGTGTGTGTATGTGTCTGTGTGTTTCTTGCTTTAAATACTACGCTTGTTAAATGTCGGACTCATCGCTCTGACTACAGATGAATAAAGTGCTTCCGTGGGCAGCTCTTTCTCTCTTTCTCTCGTGCCGATGACGCCTGTGAATTTACGAAACCGCTCGTTACGCGTTCTGATCGATCAATTTCATTCTACGCGATTCATAAACCTGTGAAAAATTCAAGAAAAAGGGGAAAAGATTCGTGAGTACGTGTTCCGAATTTCTGCCGGACAAGATATTGAAAGAAAGAAAAAAAAATTAATCGAACATCTTTGATAGGAAGACGTAAAAGTTTCTACAAAGTAAAAGATAAAACTTGGAATATTAAAATATTTAAACATTTAAAAAAATTGTGTTTCTTTCAATACCTCGTGTTCTATATTAATTAACGGTATTTGTCCCTGGCATTATGTAAGTTGTCTTCTTATCTTATCTTTAAATTTCTTTACAAAGGGGCATTTACAAAGGCGCGTTTTCTCGCAAAAACTCATAATTGCTGCGGTAAAGGGACGAAAGGAACATGCAAAATTATTAAGGAACATTAAATAATTATCTTTGATAAAACAAATGAAGCTGTTTCATCGTAGAACAAATAGAACATGCAAAACGGATGTCATGCATATCATCGAAAGGTGATCCTAAAACGGAGTATTTAAACGTAATGAAACCTTAAAGTCGACGATTTCATTTATTTCAGTCTTGTCGCGTGATCTCTTCATTTTCATTGTCACGCGTTTACGCGTTAAAAGCATGGATTGAAAGCTTTGAGGACTTAAGCATTTTTGATGGTTATTTAACCCATTTTCGGAGGTGTCCATTATACGATAATCTTGTGTGGCTTGTATCATAAAATGTAATTTCGAATAAGAAAAAGGGTTAAATCTATTGAAGGTTCACTGATTAAATGCTCGAAGACAACTTACGAGATCGCCTATCGTGTTTAAAAAAGCTATTATGACCGATCGAAATGCAAATAAGAAAAGAACATAACAAATGAATGAATTCGATGAGAACAATGTACAAATATTCTACGATATTTACGATAACTACGAGCTGGAGTATTTTTCATTAAATTGATCTTTCATCGTGATCTCTGAACACTGAGAGCGGATATTCTTTGCTTGCGCGTGTATTCGTTTGCAATATGATGTGTATGTTACACAACACAGGTTCCCTTCAAATCCTTTGCATAATTCTACCAAATAATGCTCGATTTTAATTGAATTTAATCGTTCAAATTGGTGTTCGAGAATTAGGTGATTTCTGGCAGATGTAATGTACAGCAAGATATAATATTTTGATTAAAATAATTAATTATTGAAAGCGTTATGCAAAGGATAACAGGGAACTTTCAGGCGACTGGCAAATTCTAAGAATACAATAATGTAACACATTTTCCACAAAAAATACAGATAAAAATGAAGAAAGAAAGAAGAAAGCGATTACGTGCTGTTAAACTCTTAGATTTCGAGAGCTTACTCAAAAACCTGTACAAAATCGAGCAAAGTAGGTTTCTCTGGGAAAAATGGCAATATACAGGAAGCAGGAATTCTCACAATCCTAATTTTGACTATATTTTAGCAATTTGTAATTATTAAATATTGTAGAATTTAGAATATAACTGAAAACTACGAATAATGAAATAAATATTAATTCAAATTTTCCTACGCAAATTAATTGGTGGTACGCCAAAGACCTACATATATGGGACTCCCTCCCCTAAGGGGAGAGCGGAAGTCTGGGAAGGGGTAGCCTGTGGCGTGGGTCAGGAACCTCGAAAACCCTGAACCCCAGGGAACCCATGGGGGTGGTGGGGAACTCGGTGAAGTCTATCAAGGAGAGAACATCACCAATTTCTCTAGAGAAGCCTACTATGCTCGATACTGTACATTTCTAATAATAACTCTAATAATAATAATGATAATAATAACGTTATCTCTCTTGTGTTATTACTCATCGAATAATTTCGTTAATATCGTAATTATAATCTTGCAGTAATAGCGAGAGCGATAATCAATATTAAGAAAAAAAAAAATAATAATAATGATTAATAGTAATGAAAAAAGAAAAACCATTGATATAGCGATCGTTTACTTCTTAATATCAGAGATCTACATAAGACAGTGGTAGATTAATATCACAATAAGACTACTCAGGCCTCGCGAAACTAGGGCACGCTTCGTCTCGGAGTTTCTTCCGTCACTCCGTCGTCGTTTTGCCTTGACGTTTCATTTATTAAATCGTACGACCCTGTTGCCACGGGGTTTTCAAACGACTTCAGATTCTCTCTCTCTTTCTCTCTCACTCTCTCTCTCTCTCTCTCTCTCTCTCTCTCTCTCTCTCTCTCTCTTGTATCGACGTGATCGCAAATTCGATGCTGACTCGATTAGGAATCGTATCGCGTGGGAATCTCGTTGTTAAAAACACATTCATCCTCTCGCTACCCCTCGTACACTTTAATATAAGTAATCGTAATGTAATTTGCGCTAGTCAATTTGCGAATCGAACTTTTGACACGTGTTGTTACTTATGTGTCCCGTTTATCGTTAACAAGAGAAACGATCCTATTGTTTTTTTTCTCTTTAGATCTCGTACGATTCGCAAAACGCATATATCTAGTAAGAATCTTGCTATACTCGGAGATTAAGGGACGAATGTCGTGGTGCGAGGGGAACGAAACTCTACGTTATTTCCGATCGACTCTCTACGGATTGGTGCACACACGTCGTTTTACGATTACCTGAGTGATATATACCATCGGAGCCGAGACGCTAAAATCGTTATCTTTGCGTGTAGGTGTGTAGGTGTGTGCTCGGCTAACGAACGAAACGACCGCGTTTCTACTATATAACCATGCTCTCGTTGTTCACGGCACGCGCCTCCCGTTCATCACATTATTTTGGCCTCAAATAAGCTCGGCGCATGCTGAGACTAGCAAAACAATTCTGCCTAGCCTTTTGGCGTCGAAAACGATCGGGCCCGATCCAGCCAGCCAATTCTACATGCTTCTCGATACATATATATATATAATCGTATTCTCAAATGTTTTCGAATTCTTCATGACCGGACACGCTTCCTCAATCGATGAAGTATCCAAAGAAGAATGGTCATCGTCGTCAACGTGTACGCGTTTAATAAATCTCTACCTTTCTATTGGTCTTAGCCTCACGGTGAACCGTGTATTGTTTTGTTTTTTTTTAGTTTTAGTTTGCTTTTTTTTTATTGTCGTGACCAAATCAACCTTTCATAGTTTCTTCGTTTCCGCGTGGCCGGTGTACGTGAAAGAGCGAAATGTTCGATCGCGACACGGTACGCGCGACAGAAAGCATCTAGAAATGGCTAGCGCAGACCCGATTTCACAATATCGGCGGTAAAAACGTACCGGAATCGTCGAGATTCGGGTCCAGACTCGCGACGATATCGCCGGTCGAGGCGTGTCTCGAGGAGGTAGTCGTCTGGGTGCTGCTCGCTAATGCGTGGCTACTCGCGCTCCCGTTCAGCTTGCTCTTCACCACGAGCCCGCTATTGTCGGTGTTCTCGGTTGTGCTGATCCTCTGCACGTATTTCCGTCCTTTGTACAGACGGTACATCGTGTAAGGAGGATCCTCTACCGTGGTCGCTCGTTGTCGGGGCGCGCTAACGGTCACGCTGATCGTCTGAGCGTGTGCCGATTGCGACGTTGTCTCCAGGCTCGTTGTGTTAGCGTTCGTGTTCGCGTTAGTGTTCGCGTTCGTATTCACCGTCGAGGTAGCCAACGTCGAGGACGAGGAACTACTCACGTGAGAGGAAGACGAGTTCAACCACTCGTGACGCATCGCCTCGTCGGGGGTCATACGCTTCTTTGGATCCCACCTGAGGACAGACGAACCGTTCGCTTTTCGTTAAGAAATCAAATTAAAGAGATATCTTACATCGATTCCAGTGGCGGCTCGTAGCTAAAATTAGTGGGGGTGCTGCTCTAGAAATGTTTAGCCTTTGTTTTAAAAAAGCCGGCACTGCGGGAGCGATAGTGCTCTCTCTCGCGCGCAGCCTCGTGCGCAGCCTCGCGCGCAGCTTCCTATGCGCGCATGCGTACACCGTCAAACACCACGCTGCTGGAACTGTGAAGCGCACAGTTCCCTACAAAGATTTTTCTATCTTTTTCATAAACTGAGGGATGGCTACTGACATTAAGCTTAAGGATTATATATAGGGGGTGCTGCGAGTCGCCACTAATAGATTCGTTCGAATAATGAAACTTACTCGAGGCATCTGCTGACAAAGTCCACGAAAAGGGTGTCGGTGCAACGAAGAGCCATCGCGAGGTTTTTGCTACCTACCCACCTCTTCTTGCCTTTACTGTTTGACGTACATCGAGGATTTCCCTTCGGATCTGAAACAATAATATCGTGTTATTTATGTTCAGATAACAGATTGTCATTCGGATGACGTTTGCAAGGATTAAGCCAGGACCGAAATAAGATTTCTGGTTATCTGCGGTTATAGAACTTTCGACAGCCCCCTTTGTTGATAAACTTGGTTCAAAAATTGATATTTATTCTATGTAAAATTAAATAACAATCGATAGTAAATAAAAAAGAAACGCAACAGTAAAAGAAGATTTCATTTAATATCTTTTATTATAATAAATGAAGGATTTACAAAGGGCCTGGGGCTATAGCTCCCCTTAGACCTCACCTTAATCTGCCACTCGGTTAAGCGAATTGTCTGAACTTACCGAAGAAAAGCCTGCGACGAGAGGCGTGATTAATAATGTGTTCTGGTGGAAGACCAAGAACCTCCATGATACAGGCGAGTTGTTCGATCTCATCCTCGCCCGGGAACAATGGGCAACCGGTGTAAAGTTCGGCTAGGATACATCCCAAACTCCACATGTCGATCGGTGTGCCGTATGGAAGGCCCAGAATCACTTCTGGACTTCGGTAAAACCTGGATTGAAGGTAAGTATATACACGTTGGTGGCTGTAACACGAGGATCCGAAGTCTATGACCTTAATCGAGCTGCTACCCCGTTGCTTCAGAAGCACGTTCTCCTGTAACCGAACAACGCTGGATCAGGAAACTACATTAAGGCACCAGCCCTCGCCTATTAACCCCCCGCATTCTTCGTTACTTTACATCGCGTCTATTTACTTCGTTTACGCGTTGCTTTATTAACGCGCGGGTCACCGTACTTATTGAAGGGACAACTTTCGTTTAACGAGCAAGGATACTTGCTTTCAACGTTGGAATTAAGCAAAGAAAGCGAAACAAGCAGTTTATTATAACTTCGAAGTAATTTTTTTTTTTTAATTATGTGAGAGAAATAAGAGAAATTGTAAAATACGATTCATAAAGTAATCAGTACCCATAGATAAGATTGTAACCGTGATAAGTATTAAGGCCAAACGACGAAGATTTCGAAGACCATAATTTTATTCAATTCGAATTGGAAATTAATTAACGAGATGCGAATACGTACAGGTTTTAAATCGCAATGGATTATCTTCTCTCGATAAAGCAGTCTCAGGCAGCTAATTAGCGAGTTGGCGAATCTTCTTATTAGGCTGAGGCTAAATCCCTTATAGTTATTCTTTTTGATTAGCTCGTACAAATTCAAACTGAAAAAATAAATATACACAGTGATAAATATCTGTGTATACGTCCTTTCTGCGTGTTTACAAAGATACAAATCTATTACGATAAGATATAAAATGAATACTCTAAAAACTTTACAATTGTAGTATTAATTCATATGTATCTAATCACTTTTTATAATACATAATTATAGATTTTTATGTTATCTGAATATTAATCCAACAAGAACAAAAAAAAAATATTTCCAAAGTAGATTTAATGTACCTCATTAACTCAAAAGTGATGCACAAGTGGTTTCTGAAGTAGAAATATTCTAGCATGTGTATCACATTGTGCGACGCGTTCGCGTCCAAGTCTTTCTTCCTGAGATGTTCCAAGATTTCCACTTCGACGAGAGCCTGATGATGGAATCTCTTTTTGTTCCTGAAACAACGAAATAATACGTCATTTTGACACATTACTCGAAAATTCAGGTCGGGCTGGGAGCGGGAATTCTTCAAGCTCGGGTGGACTCTGAAAGTTTGTTTAGTACATAAATTTGTTCGGGTACCAGTGATTTCGGGAGTTTCGTGTCTCGAGCCGAGTTCAGGTACTAAACCAACTTTGTATTGAATTCTCAAAATTACGGGTACCCGAATAAATTTATGTGCTTGACCAACCGTCGGGGTCTCACCCAACTCGACCCAATTCGATCCAAGGCTCGGGTATTCAAATTTTCGTAGTAATACTTAATAACTCAAGTATTGTGAAAATGTGCATTTACTAACCTGATGATCTTAATGGCAATGTAATGACCCGTCTTGTGATCCCACGCTCTAATTACTTGTCCAAAGCTTCCCTTTCCAATCACCTCCAATATCTCGTATCTGAATAAATAATGTACAAAAATTTATTCTCTCTTTTATTACAATCCTAGTTGATTTATAACGTAGAAAAAGAATGCGTCAGAGATAAGATGCGCTTTACTTTTCGTGATAACGAGTCACACAATTCACATTAAAGTTTGTTAGAAGTTGTTGAAAATTTTGAAATCTATTTATTAAATGAAAAAAATTGAAGTATCAGTTTGATTTTTTTGATAGAAATGATCAAACAGGAAGTGTTATAACTGAACGTATACAGAAGTATAGTTTCAACGTGAAAGCTTGTGTTCGAAAGCTCGTTGAACGTTCTAATCTTGTCAACAAGATTTTTGCGACCAATATATTCCGTTTCGACACAAATTTAATAATTGCTTTCCGATACGTCACTTCCGACTAAAAGCAAGTTTTCAAACGATGCAAACACAATTGAAGTGCGATATTATATTTATCCGTCAAAGCGAAGAATTTGAAAAATTCTTTGAAAGCTGAAATTCACTACTTTAATTGCATTCTTTTACATTTTTCAAATAATTATATATCATAAGACATAAAATTATATTAACTTATTAAATTATAAAATTATAAAATTGCAAAATTTATAATGCCTTATCAAGTATCAAGTGGTTAAACAATATTTTATTTCAACATCTTCTGGAGTATATGTATGAAATTTTTTTATTCAGCTGAATGGATACGGCTATTAAATCTTATGATTTGTAATTACGGATAAATAGCGATTGTATCGGGAAAAACCGTGAAATTGATGCGAGTTAATGTTCATTGGGTGTCGGCAATTAAATGGAAAGTTCTGAAAGAGAGAAAACCAGAAGGAAAAAGAGGGAAAGGTACGCACCTGTACGAGATGTGATCGTGGAGGACCTTGTTGTAACTACCGTTTTCGTCGTCGTATCCACCGTTTTGCGATGACCCTTCCTCGCCGTGAATTTTATGAGCTGATAAACCAAGATACCAAATCTCCGAGTACTTCTCGATTTCGGCACGTTCGAATTCTGTGAGCCTCGAACCGTAATATTTGAGGGCCTCCTGAGATGTCATTGGCAATCTCCCAGCTGCATTTTGCAAAATAACTTTGCGTTCAAATATGCACGACAAGAACACATCGGTTTGATGACCGATGTCGTGTATTTGTGACTTCAATATTTGGAATTTTTATTTATTATAGTCATCTAAATTGAATTTTTACAATACTATTCCAGGATCGGATTAAGATTTTTGGAGTTCGGGGCTGTCCAATCTTCGAAGAAAGATGCTTCGTTAATTGACAAAGGTTTAAAAATTGAAATTTATTCCAAAATCACGGAGAAAAATAGTAACAATAAAAAGAAATGACGGTAATTAGTTTTGGACGTAGTAAATGAAAGGCTTAGAAGAGGGGCCCTTAGAAAATGGGGCCCGAGGCTGTAGCCCCCCTTAGACTTCCTGTCAATCCGATGCTGTACTATTTTTTTTTTGGTAATTTTGAAATATACAGAATCGAAAGCTATGTAATATAAATCTATTATATCGAAATTCTTATTGTAAAGAATTAAGGACTTCTATGAAATGTACTGTCGTCAAATTACTAAACTACCTATGAAATATAGAAATTGTGAGAAAAACAAAATCTCCAAAAAATATGAAATTACACGTACGATACACGTCATGAGATGTGGCATTAATGGACTCGTGTATTGGCATGTTGTTATGGATATTGTTGGCTGAAGAATTGTTCGTATTATTGTTGTCCGATTTCTCCACTCGCGTCGGTTTGGGGTGAAAGAATGACAGTAATTTCTGCAACAAAAAATTAACACAAAATTTTTACAATAATCCATAATACAATAGATTTTCATTTTTTCCTCTTAAATTACATAAAGAGAAAAAAAGACTCGTTTCAATGGTTCGATGTAAAAATGAAAAATAGGTCAAGGATAACCTTTCTGGCAAGAATTAATCGAAGCTATCATCGTTTTTCACGATTTTTATAATCTGGTAAATCAGATTATCAGATTATCACTTATCATATGATTCATACAGATGAATAAAAGTCATCACTTGATGATCATTTGACTTGGACATTATGCGAAATAATAAATATAAATTTTAGATTTACTAAAAGAGATTTATCTCCTGCCTAACATCGTTTCTATTATCAACGCAATACACAATTGTTTGTAACTCGTATTGCATTGTTAACACCTTATTATTTTTGGAATTGCCTGGATTCAATACATACGAGCATGTATTGCATGCACCCCCACTTACACGTACTTACGTCCATGTCATTCACGCAGAAGGAACTCCATAATTAATAAACAAATTCAAACACGATTTAAGACAAACGCGCAATGCGTACACGCACGTGAAAAATATTCACAATTCGAGTTCGCACGCGAATAGTATTCGAGAGGCTCACGAACGAAATTTCTGGCACCGTGAACATCGCCAATGACGGATAAATCTAAATCTCCAATCACGATTCAGATCCGATTTCGTTCTTCTGGAACGAAATTAGCTTTGCAATACGAACTTCCTCGCTAAATTATATACACAGAAGTTTTAACGATTACGGCCCCCTTCAAGGTACAGTTAGCCACGATTCTCGATAGAAAACACTATCTTGTAGTCTTTTCTTCTGCGTCTTCTATACTTCTTTTTAGACTACAAACATCGAAAGAAACGTTTCATACTTTTGAGGACACTGGGAGATTTTTAGTGGTGCTTAACAGTATACTTGCAATTGTTATGTTATTGGGTTACTATAGCGAAGATATTCATATTACTGAACAATAGAGAACAATCACAATTAAAAATTTTAAAATATTGTCTGTTACAAGCCTTAGGCGCACAAAGAAAATCGGGGACCATCTCATACACATTTTGCATTTTTTAGAAGTCAAAATCAATGAATTTATTTATTGTATACAGTAATCACAAACACCTGTATGCAGGCCCCTCGTTTCACCTGATCCTAGGCACGTGTCTATTTTGCCTAAGGGTGAACGCAGCCCTGCTTCGTCAAAGGGTTAATCAGACACTCGTATCATCCTTTTGTACAAAAAAAAACCTGATCCATCAGAGAAACTTGCTGGAAAGTAGAACGAATTAGTTGGAAATATGAGCACATAAGTGGTGTATATTGACCCTCGACGAAGACTCGACGAGTTTAACGACACCAAGAGAAGCGACCCGACAATTACGTCTCCTCCTCTTTCAGGCATTAAAGCGTTTCGTTTGCGAAGCGTCGCCTTTCCGTATGGCCAAGGGCAGTCACCGGTCGCCGGTGCCGTTTGAATGATAATCAACCGTCTGTCTGGTTGTTCTTCTCGTAAAGAGTTGCACGACCTACGGTCGCGTCCATTAATTTTCCGTGTGTAGTTTCCCCGCTAGTGGCTCCATGCTTCACCAGATTTCACGATTTCATTCGCATGCACAATCACCTCGAGATACGCTTAGACCAAATTACGAGAGCTCGTAAAACTTGATCGACAGACGGCTGGCAATGAACTAAATGAATTCCTCGGAGAACGATAGAAACACTGGCGAGCGATGAAAGATTTTGATGTATTTTGAGTTGCTCTGAATAGCTTTGGTAGCTCTGAGGAATTTCCGTGGTAGCTTTCTGTAGCTCTGAGTGGCTCTGTTGATTCTGAGTAGTTTCTAGCTTTAGGTAACTTTGCTAGCTTTAGATTGCTTCTATAGAATTTTCTCGTAGCTTTAGATAATTTCTACGTTAACTTTCTACAGCTCTGAGTAGGTTCCATGGTAATTTTGGGTAGCTTTAGCCAGTTTTGTTGGCTTTGAGTAGTTTCTATTGTAGGCATTTAAGTGGAGGGGGAGAGGAGAGTATCGTCTCCCGGACACCTTTAGTTAGGGCCGGGGACCGCTAGGTGGCGGCGAGATGATCGGTGACAGTATTCTCGCAAGCGGTCGCCCGGCATGCAGTTCGAATATACAGGGTGATCCTCTCGCAGCTAGACACAAAGGAACTGGCGACAATGAACCCCTTGACCGCACCATGAAGACACACAGAGTCGTCTTAGCCTGGTAGGTCCCCGCTGGTACTGCGGACCTCTTTATGGTGCGGTCAAGGGGTTCATTGTCGCCAGTGTTCCTTTGTGACCGGCTGCGAGAGGATCACCCTGTAGAAGTTCCAAATTGCGGTATGATAGGTGTCTGGGACAGGGATCGTCTGTTGTCAGTCCCATTGACGAGTCTGACAGACAATCCCTAGACGAAACGCCTTTTTCTCCCCTCTCCTATACTATATTAGTTTTTTGTAACTTAGGTGCCTTTGGTGGCTTTGAGTAATTTCTATATTAGTACTTTTGTAACCTGGGTAGCTTTTGTGGCTTTAAGTAATTTCTAGAATAATTCTAGAGTATTAGCTCTGAGTAGGTTTGATAGCTTCTATGTTAATTTTCTATAGCCTTGAGAGGCTTTGGTTAGCTTTCATGGCTTTGTATAATTTCTAGGGTAATTTCCCATAACTTTCGTTAACTTTGATGCTTCAGACTTTAGATAGCTTGTGTACCTCTAAGTTGGTTTGGCAGCTTCAAATAGCCTCTACGTTAACTTTGTACAACTCTGAGTACCTTCCATAATAATTTTCTGTACCTTCGAGTACCTTTGACCAAAACAACCAAGGATGAAATACAAAACACAGAGAAAATCGAATGCAGAGATTTCAAAGCGAATATCGTGTTTCTGAAAGCTCCAGGGAGCTGTCGGAGAAGAAGAGCAAGGATCTTGCTCGAAAACTCGTATCCCATAAACAGTTTCTGCTTAGCCTTGTAAGTAATTCATTGCGGCAACGTGTAATCACGGGGATCATGCGATCGAACGTATTCGCGATCACGCAACTAGCATCGGAACGTAGGAATTATCGAAGTTACGGTATACAGGGCAACGTTTTGTATCGGGAAGAAAAGCGATGAAGCATCGAGGGACGCTTCTCTGCCTCGACTAATCGTACGCGTGCACGTGAACCAAACGATACGATTCGACGCCAATTGATTAGGGTTAACGACGATTAAGAGCAGACCAATGTTGACATAAATTTCTATCAAAGGGTCATGGGACCGTGCGTAACTGCCGTCGCAAAGGAGCATCCCCTGTCAGACTGAATTCACTTTATGTCTTCGTGCTCGTTCTTTATGGTCGGTAGATATATTCTATTCGGTTTGGGTCGAGGATACCGCAGGGTATAGTATTAGACATTGACAAATATTCTCATTCCTCTACTCTCATTTTTGTGCTCCAAGCTCGAAGTTTCTATATCTTATTCTAAATTTCTATATAGACGAAGATTTTGAACATATTTGTCGAATACTTGGTTACCCAAAAGAGTTCCGTACCAATGATTGCATTTTGAACGTAATATATTTTAAATATATGCAATCTACGATCGAATCACCGTTTAAAAGAGAATACCTCGTTTAAAATTGGACCAAATGACTTCGGGTTTCTCGAGAAGCTATACAAATTAATTTACTAAGATATGTGCTTTTGTCGTTTTAAAAAATTACAATTTGTCGAAATCGGGAAAGAAATAGTAAAAGGCAATTTTGTAACTTTTTTATCTGAGGCTGTAACGAAAATTTAAAATATGGCGTTTGTAAATTTAAGTGTGTTAAGTGTATGCTGAAAATTTCATCGAGATCGATCAATACACTTAGAAGTAATTAAAATTTCCGAAAATCGCGACTTTTCATCTAAGAACGTGACTAGTTCTAATTCTAATTCTTAATTTCGATGATACGGACGATTGAAATATTTAGATATTTGTGGTGACTCTAATATTAAATTTGATAAAGTTATTTTAATCACGACCTTAACTGAGTATAAAAACAGAATGTTCACAAAGAACCTTCTAAGCGTTGAAGAAAACAGATGGTAAGAAGAAAAACGATCGACATCGAACTTGGAACGCGTTTCACAACGGCAAGCCACGGTCGTGTAATGAAAAATTATTATCGGTCGGTGATCGCGCGACTCGCGTCGCCGCATCGGCATAAATAAAAAGTAACAGAGTGGAATAACCGAGACGAGAAGGAGGTTCTCTACCATCCACGCGTATAAATTGTAATCGTGTACTCTCTTGACTCCCTCTCGTGTCCTCTTCTTCTCTTTTACCTTTTTTTTTCCTCTTCCTTCCTGTCCGGTGCTCCTGCCAGCCAACACGCTCGCAACAGCTCGAAAGCATAAATAAAACGGGACGATTCACGAGCGGCCAACATTCACGGCTCGCCAAATCCGCTTGACCCTCGAATTTGAAAATCGAACGTATCGGAAGGACTTTGTTTCTCAACGGCACTGGTTACGATGTTTTCACGAGCTTTAAATAACTTCTCCTGACAATTATTACACCCCTTTGACTTTGTCGTCGAATGCTTTAGTTTTATGAAACATCTACTTCTCAGCGACCAGATATTTTTCAATAGAACCGAAGACAGACTAACTCGGACACTGCATGGCTTCGTTAAATTTATGGCTGGGATTTGTATTGTCCCCAGGAGTAGAGAAAACGTGAGATAGTATGCACTTCAAACGTGAGATAGCTGGTGGTCTAAAAGGCACGTAGCTATGGGGTGGCATGGGATTGATAGCTTCCAGACACGTAGAAAATAGAGACAACTATTTCTATTATAACCCGACATTGTATTCCTTTAACACTTCAACACCCAGAGTGTCAAAGTGAAAATGGATATGTATAGTCAGAAAAATTCTCAGCTTATGCTCTGAATTATTGAACAGTTCATTTTCAAACTTAGCCTCGCAAACTTTTCTGTTTC